GGGCCCCCCTCCCACATACATCCCGAGTGTGACCTCCTCCAGCAGTCCCACTGCTGCCGTGGATCCAGAACTGCAGTGTTCACCTGTAACTATTTAAATTTCAATTAAATTTCAATTAAAATGAAGTGGGATTCAAACCCAGCTCCTCAGTCACACTAACCAGATTCCGAGCGCTCAGAGGCCACAAGTGGACGGCAGCTACTGAACTGAACGACACAGATATGGAACATCTCCATCACCACAGAAAGTCCTAGGGACAGCACTGCTTCAGGATGTGTCAGGGACCAAGGGAGAAGGATGCCTGCCACTCCTGGGTCTCCCGCCTCCTCCTGGCCCATCGTCTACGGGCAGCCAGAGGAATATTTCCCAAAGCACAAATCGGCTTACTCACCACTTTTACTTAAAGTCTCCCATTGCCTATTCCAGTGACCAGAAAAGAATTCCAGTTCCTTTTGTGACCAACCAAGCCTCACATTCATCTGATGTTCAGCAATATCTACTGAGCACAAACTATGTGCTCGGCACTGATCTGGGAACCTGCAACAGGAAATATCAGGGAGCAAGAGCCAAAACTCCTCCCCTCTATGGGGTGATTTAGTGGGCGACGGGAAAACAGTGAGCCAGCTCCATGAGTGAATGATGAGCATCTGGAAGATGAAGAGTGCAGGGACATAAGGAAGTGGAGCAGAGGGAGAGGGACCTGGGGATTGGGGCACAGCCCTCGGGGTGGCCTCGTTGCCAGGTGATGGGAGCATGCCAGGCAGGGGGATCAGCAGTGTAGATGCCCCGAGCTGGGATCAGCTCTGGGGATTGAGGACCAGCCAGGGAGCTCGTGGGCCTGGGTGAGAGAGAGATGGCAGGAACTGAGGTCACAGAGGATGAGAGCAGGCCGGGCAGAGGCTTGACTCACCACGGGAAAGACTCAGAGATTTTCTGGGTGAGGGGAGTCTCGGCAGAATTCAAGCAGAGTGACAGCTCTGGGCTCACATCTGCAAGGCTCCCTCTGGCTGCTGATTGTAAAGAGACCGGGGTGGGTGCCCAGGGCAGGGAGACCACTGTGCAGACACTGGGAGGGAGGGCAGCAGGCGCAGCATCTGGGGAGCAGCGTGGAGGTGACGAGAGGGGGTCAGAGTCCGGACTTAGTTGAAGGGTGTGCTTGTAGGATCCCTGGCCAGCGGGGTGTGGGGTGGGAGAGATCTAAGGACGGTTCCTGGTGGGGCGCCTGGGCTCTGGGAAGGACAGAGGTGTGGCCCCTGTGCAGGGAAGGTGGTGGGCAGGCAGGCTCTCAGTGGTGGGTGGTGGTTAAGTCAGGACCCGATGGCCTCCCTGGACATCCCGCGGAGGAGGCTGAAGGGATCCGGAGAGAAGTCTTAGCTGGACGTGTGACTGAAGGCGACAAGGTTGGCCCAGGCTCTGGCCTCTCCTCTCCCTCCTCTCTCACTCTCGGTCTGGCCACCCACACCTCCTCCTCCTTTATCACCCACAAACATCCAGGCTCATTTCCTGCCCTGGCCTCCTGTCCAGGCAGTACCCCGACTCCAGCCATGCTCTCCCAACTCACCCCGTGTCATGACTTCCACAGAACCCAGCAACCCTTGAAATGACCTCGACTTCTTACACGGTGGTGTCCACCCCCAGGACAGCATCAGCTCCTTGAAGACAGACACTGGTCTTGCTGCGTCCCCACCCCGGCTGGGCACTCAGTAGCTGAACGCGGCCGACCAGCCCTCCAGGAGGGCCTCTCTCTGCCCTGTTCCCCTACAGCCAGCTGTAAGGCTGCTCTTCTGCCAGTGCACCCTGAGGTGACCCAGGTGGTCACCGCTGCTGTTGGGGACCCTAAAGAAAAGGAACATCCTTCCTGCTGCTGCAGGGCCCAGCCCTGAGGGCCTCAGGGTAGAAGATCACAAACACACACACACACACACACACACACACACACACACACACATACACACACACACACACACACAAACACTCACAAGCTCACAGGGTTTAATTCTTTTTTTCTCCTCCTCCTCTTTTCCTATTCCTGGCCCGAGGGTTTTGAGGGCTGGGGAGGGGGAACTGGGAAAGCCTGAAAAAACCAGCTCTGACTGACCATGTGCATTTTTTAAATGTAATGCAGTCTATTAGGTATCAATTGTGAATCTGATGTGTGATGAGGAGTGACTGACAGTTCTTTAAGCAGCAGAATCCTTGAGCAGGGACACCAGCAGAAGACTGGAGCTTGTTTGGCAGGAACCATCCTGACTCCCAAGCCAATCCCACAAATCTCTCAGGTTGTCAGGAAACGCTGAAAAATGCTGATAAACACAATAAGAGTGCAACTGTACATAAATACAGTCTGGGGTGAGGGGTGATAGCGGATTTGCCCTTTTGTTCTGAATTGCAGCATCCCCATTGTTACTGCAGATCCCTGCACCCAGGACTCCAGGCTCGGGGGAGGAGCGCCCCCTGGAGGTGGCTCACCTCCCGCAGGCCCACTCCTTCCGCCCACTTCCCAGGCCCCAGCTCTGCAGAGAGGCTGCCTGCTCGGAGGACCCAGTGCTGCTGGAATGGATGGTCAAATCTCATTTGTGTGCTATTTTAAGATATTTAAAATAAATGTCCTCTAGTTCTAAGCCGAGGAAGCAGGGTAGGGGCCTCAGAAGAGGAGGGATCTTCTGTGCCGCTGTCCCCCCAGCCCTCCTGGCCTGCCCTACACTGGAGCCACAGCAGTGAGGACAGGGGCCCGCACCCGCCAGGCACTGTGGGACACGCAGGGTCCCCACCATCAGTTGCAACCAAGAAAGTGTCCTGGCTGCTGACCCCGCCCATTTTCCCTGCCGTTCTGTTTATGGAAAACTTTCCATCAAGTCCTTGCCCCTCTGCACACACTCAGGACCACACAGATTTCCACGCAGGTGTCAGATGGGAAGTTGTCGGCTACAAGAACTGGGAGTCTTCGTCCCACCCCTCGTGCTCTTTAGGGACCAGACTTGGCAGGTGGCAGTGCTGGGAGACCTCACCCCTCAGTCCCATCCTCCAGTCAGGGGAGCAGGACCCAGCCGCGGCATGGGAGTCCGTGCCCCTCCACGGCCCTGCGGTTCCTGCCACCGGGCCGGCTGGGCCCGCTGGACTGAGGGGGTTTCCAGCGTGCATGGCTTTCAGTTACTGAAGTCAGGACATTTCTGGGAAACCGGGACACATCGGTCACCCCAGGGCCAACCCAGCCTCAGGTCACCCCAAAGGTAGCTCTGCAGAGATTGCGTTTCAGTCTCGCTTTGTGCGACTGTTTCTGGATCCGGGCAAACTCCACTGGGACAGGAACATGTCTTTGATTCTTGTAAGCGCAGAGTCACTTATAAATTCCTAATTTGGGACCTGTGGTTGCTCCAAATTAGCTCCTGGCACCAGGCGCATTCGGCTCCTTGAAGTTCAAGGTTACTGCAGACAGTGAAGGACGAAGGAGGCTGGTGCTGCCTTCTTTCTGGCCAGCTCTCAGCTGCGCTTCTTTTGAGAGCGCGAGGCCTCCTCATCTTTCACAGGGTGGTCGCTGCCTTTGTATCGGCCCCTCCGCTGATGCACCTGGTGAAGTTGCCATGCTCGGTTCCCCTTCAAGTTTGGCTGTTGAACAGGCCTCCCGCTGCTCCTCCCAGGAGGCCTGCTCCTGGCCCTCTGGCTTTGCCCTAACTGGAAGGGAAATTACTGTTGAGGAAGGAAGACACTGTTGCATAGATTTCTGAGTCTTTTGTTTATTCCCAGAAAAGGCTCTTGAAACTAAAAGCCAGGAACTGGGCACCTGCACACTTCTATTTGTGATCTGCCGCCAGCAACGCGGGCCTCCTGACCAGCAGCCCAATTAGAGGGTTTTGTGGAATCAGAAGGAGCCCGGAAGCTCACTTAGCACAGGTCACCCTGCTGGGATGCACAGGCGGGTGCTGACCCGTCTGCCCTCCAGGCTAGCTGGGCGATTCCTGTGTCTTCTCCTGCCTGAATCAGACCAGATGCATTGATGTCCTGCTCCTCGCCTTTCCTGTATCCCCCCCCTTTGCCAGGAGACTTTCAGGGTCCCCACTGAGGGCCTAGCGTCCTGCCCCAGAGACTTCAGGCTCTCCCACCTGACTTGCTTTCACCCACGGGATTTTAGCAAACATGACACAAGCAGAGGATTGAAGAAACGCTTGCTCCTCTCCTTCACTCTCTTGCTCCTCATCCTTGGCCGTGAGAACATGCCCGGGACAACCTGCCGGAGGGTGAGTCGTGTGGAGTAGAGCCGAGTTCACCTGTGGTCCCAGCTGTGTCCATCCTGGTTCCATCCTGGGTCCACCCTGACTGGCAGATGTGGGTGAGCCCAGCCAAGATCAGAAGAACTGCCCAGCAGAGCCCATCCCAAATCAGTGATCCTCAGACTCACCACCTGCTAAATCGATGCTGGTAGCATGACACTGAGGGTTTGGGGGGGATTTTTGTTATGCAGCATTCTAGTGGCAAGTGATGACAGATTCACGCCAACTCCAGCTGCTGGAGGAAGCTTTCAGTTTCTAGGAAGCCTTGGGACCCAGAAGGGTACCAGGTGGGATTTGAGGCTGAAGGTGCTGAAGAAAAGAGCCTGGTGTCAGACAGACCAGAGTGGGGACCTTGAGTGTGACTGGGGCCAGCTGGTCAACCCCTCTGTAGCTTAAGGGCACTACTGATACTACTGTTCCTACAATTCTACCAGCTACAATATTTTGAGCAATTATGTGTCTGGAATAATGTTAGGAGCTTTACATATAATAGCTTGTTAGATTTTCACCACAACCCTGTCACAATATACATCCGTTTTTCAGATGAAGATAGTGGGACCCTGTGTGATTAACTGGATGGGCCACAGGTACGCAGCATATGCTATATTAAGTTTTGTGTTATGTGTATTTTGCTTTGAGCAGCACATAGAATTTTCCAGATAATATGATCTCAACTAATCCAAAATATAGAGAAATAGGACTGGAAAAAAATATGATAATTCCCGCAGAGCGTAGGATCTTGACATTTTTTCTTTATTTTTGCATTAACTTAAAAATTTTTCTAATAAGACACATCATTTTGAAACACTCCTCTTCACTCAGTATCTGACTACTTCTGTACCTTGTGATCAGTGACAGTTTTAGAGTCGCTTCCTTTATGTTTTCCAATTGTAGTCAACACTGGGCCAGTTGTCTCAACCACCTGGAAGCCTAATGATGGTGGATCATGTGCTCCTAAAACATACAGAAGTGCTGCTAAAGTTTGTGTGAGTTAGGATGGGCTAGGCTGGGGCCCCAGAATATAAAATGGCAGAAACGTAATGGAAGGAGACTTCTGTTTCCTGGAGAGCTCGCAGAGGGCCGACCGTCTTCCTGAGGATGTTTAGAAAGCTGATGACACACCAGAAAGCTTTTGTCTGAAGGTCCTGGAGAGATACTCAGGCCACCAGGCCTAAGGGGCCAAGGCTCCAGAGAAGGAAAGACCAGAGGAAGGTGCTTTTCTGCTCAGGGCACTTGGGAATCCTGGAGTGAGAGCAAGAGGCAAGGGGCCCAGGTTGGAGCTACCAGGGGGACCAAGGAAACTGAAAAAGATGCTGATAAGCTCATAGGTCTGGAAAGAAAAGAATGAGATTCCTGGAGGTGGGGGAGCCAGAACCCCACAAGACGGCGCAGAGAGCTAAGCCCAGCTCTCAGCCAATTTCCCCCCTCAAGATATTTGAAGATTTCTGAAGCAGCCCAAGATGCAAACTGAAAGGGAACGCATGGAGCCTGAGACATTAAGTGATGTTTTTAATCATCTCACTGTGCTGAGGACACAAGATTAAAGTTCAGGATCTATCACGGGGCAAGGGTCCTGATGAACACATCAGCCTCTCAAAGGGAAACCCTTAAAACCACACTGTAAGAGTGGGTGTGAGCTGAGGGCAGGCAGGATGTCCCAATCCTGACCCCCAGCCCTGAGGATCAGTGTTCCACTAGCCTCCATGGAGTCCCTGACTGGATGCAGGTGACTGGCCCCCACAGTCTATTCCTGCATCAGAGAAAAGGAGGAACAATGCCCCAAATTCAGTGACAAAATGACTGGGGGGTGGGACGCAGACAACATAGAACATGTATAACAAATACAAAGCAAATAGTAAAAATGTAAGCTATGAATCCAATTATATTAATAATTATGTTAAATATAAATGGACTGAATACTTCAAATAAGACTAAACGTGTCAGATCAGATTATTTTAACCTTGATGATATGTTGGATACAAGAGATCCACCTCAAATATGAGCAAAAAGTGATGAAAGTATAAATTGGGGGAGAAAACTTTGCCAGGTAAGCACTAAACAAACAGGAGAAAGAGACAAATCTATGAGAACGCTAGGACGCGTGAGCACGCTCCCCCGGACAGAAACAGAAAAGCAGAGAGGATCTAACGTGACAGCACAATTAGCTTGAACTAATGAGCACTGCATCCAACGGGGCCGGGAAAGGCGTTCTTTTTCAATGCACAAACACTTAATAAAATGAACCACATGCTGGGTCATCCAGCCAGCCTCAACAACTTTTAAGAGATTTGCATCATTCAGAGGTAAGTCTTCTGACTGCCACAAAATTAACCTAGGGATTAATAACAAAAATTTAATGAGGAAATTCCCATCTCTGCCTCCTAAAATATGTCATTTCTTTGTAACTCATAGGCACGCTTGAAAGAAGGAAAGAGGGAAATTCTTGAGCCAGAAATAAGCAGGAACTATAAGCCAGAGGATCTTTCTTGAGCCGACACCACAGAAGAGCAGGGAGCAGTCAAATGCAAGGATGCGCCCTGAGGGCTGGGTGGCTGGGTTTTCGTGCTCACAGAAGACAGGAGACATGGCCCTGACATAGAAGAGGCAGAGGGAAGCTGGAAACTCTGAATGAATTCAGGTTCCTGGAAGACCAGTCTCTCCTTATAAGAGGGACTAGGAAAATCCAAGAGAAATTTCAGGAACAAAGCTTGACTCTGCTCAGAAAAGATGAAGGTGGATAAGGACTCCCACGAAGAAACCAGAGCTCCAAGCCCACCGCACCCAATCAAACGGACAGTTTTAATTTATACTTCCCACAAAGCAAGGAGCTCCCAAACCAAAAAGTTACCAGAGATTTGTTTACAGAGAAGTGACCCTTTGGATCCAGACCAAAGCAAAGATAAATCCTTCCCTGGAAATACCTCCCCTCCCAGGGGAAAAAAAAAATGATAACACCATCCAAAAAAACTCAAAAAAAAAAAAAGAATAATTTTTAAAAATCCCGAACTACACTGGGGAACAATTCACAAGGGAAAGTCAGCCAATTAAAAAACACAAAATGATTAGATCCTTCAAGCACTTATCATAACAGATCAGTTCAAATGAATTTATAAATCATATTTAAATTTATGATTTATGTTTTATAATTTATGAGACGATAAAACATATTTGAATCACATATAAATTTAAATCATTTACAAATCATATTTAAATAACCGACCAGTTCAAATGAAATTATAGATCGTATTTCAAATGTTTAAAATGATCAAAGACATAAAGAAGGAATAAAAATCATTTTAAAAGAACAAGGCTCTAGGAAAAAATAACAGATAGACTTGAAAATGAACTACGATGAAGTGCTATGACTAAAAATGACCCCCCAAAAAGTCATTTAAAAGCTAAAGACTTTGGAGAGCAGAACTGATGGTGTAGAGAAGTAGGGAGATTTGGTGAATGGAGACATAAATGTAAGGGGATCCCACAGAATGCAATGCAGGTGTAAAGAGGTGACGAATCCAAATGAGACTGAGAGATGGGAGACGGAGGGAAGAAGGGCCAGGCTGGAACCTAGCCGGGGTGCGGAGGCAGCAAGTGTTTCCGGACATCGGTTCTCCATCCAGCATGGGGCAGACTGCCTAGCCCACGGCTGGAGGGGGCACGTGACAAGTTCTGGCCACTGAAACATGAGCAGCCTGGACAACGGTCACCTCTCAGCTGAGGGGGGTGGGTTGAGAAGATGATGTGTACCAGAAGGGGCAGTCCCCAGCTGGGGAAGGGGAAGACCCCAGGGAGCAGCTGGGATGGAGGAGCAGGGACCTAAGGAACGAGAGAGAGAAACGCGCGCGCGCGGGCGCGGAGGATTACCAACTAGATCCTTTAAACCTGTCTCCCATCAGGGGCTAGTAAAGTGGCATCATTTTCTTTAATCGTTAGGCAGTGTTTCTTTGAACGTCCCAGCAAGGTGGGCACAGGGATGTCTGGGTTATGCTAAAGCTTGGCTTGTCATCGAGACTGTGAACATTCCCAAAGCTGCACTGTAGCATCTCCAGACTTGCCTGTTAGAACCCCAACCCCAGCCCAGCCATGTCCAGTCCAGCAAGCTCCTCACTGCTAGACGGAGAGCAAGCAGGGAGGGAGGAGAAGCGCGGAGGGAGGAGAGAACAGAAGGAGCTCGAAGGCGAATGAGGGGCTGGCAGAGAGGGGAGGTCAGGTCTGCGCCTTAGACTAGGTCAAGCTGGAGTTCTTGCTGCCACGTGGAGGTCCCAGACCTCAGCGCGACTACACTGAGGCAGTTCAGGTGACAGTTAGCACAGCGGGCCCTGGGAAAGGGTCGGGGCAGGAGCCCAGCAGCTCCCTGGACCACTGAGCTCCTCCTCCACATCTAGGAAGGGATTGGCCCGAGGATGGAGTAGCAGACCCTGCCTGGGTAGGGCTAAGAGGCCACAGAACACCACTTATGGAGGTGGAGCTGGAGCCAGGAGGGCCATTTTGCAGGAAAGAGATAGGAGAGACCAGGGAGGAGGGCATGCTGGGTGGAGTGAAGGAGGCAGGACACTGATGGACGAGGATGAAGCTCTATAGGTCCTCAAGCCAATGCTGCAAGCAGAGGTCTTCTCCATCACCAACACCGCCACCTCTGAGATGGGTGATGGCTCCCTCAGCCCTCTTGAGCTGTGCACAGTCCTAAGAGGGTGCCCAAGGCCAAAGTTCGGATCAGCTCAGGACAGGGTACTAGGAAGTGTGGGATTGGGGGCGAGAGTTGAGAAGGGGAGGCATCCATGTGAGGACCAAGGTGGGGAGTGGCCACCGGTAGGGTCTGACCACTACCAGTACCAAAGGGGTGGACGGGTCTCAACGCAGCCCATCCGGAGCTGCGTTCTGGCGGCACCAGATGGAGCGGAGGGAGCACTGGACAGGGAGTCAGGCTGGCCCTCTCCCAGCTTCCTTTTCCCTGTGGGCACTATGGGCATGATCCTACCTGGTCTGCGGGCTGCTCAGCTGAGATGGGAGTGGGGGTGGGAAGAGCCTGGAGACCCTCTGGGGGCCCTACAATCACCCTTGTCTGCATATAATGCAGCTTCAGAACCACGCTCCTGACTAGCTGAGCTGAGAATTAAGTTCTTCCACCCTTGGACATCCTTTTACTGGGTTTACCCTTGGTCCCCCACCCCACCCCCAGCAAACTGGCCCAAGTGAGAGGTGAGCAGGAAGACAATGAGGGGTCAAGTGCGCCGTCCAGGTTAGTGATGGGCACCTGCGAAAGACTGGCTGAGACAGGCTTCCTGATGCAGTGCCTGTGCCGGCCACATGGGGGCAGCGTGGGCCTGCGTTTCCGTGCCTTCAGCTCGCGGAGCAGCCATCCTGGAATCCTAAGAAGGGTAGGGAGGGCTTGCCTCTCCTGCCCCATCCCTTCTCCACTCACTTCCTCTGCAAACGCTTGGGGAAAGTGATGAGCTTTCAAAACTCATTGAAGAGGTGGGCAGACCTGAAACAGCCCCTTGAAATCCTCCAGGCACCCAGCCTGCTCAGTAACTGGGGAAACTGAGGCTCAGAAAAGTTAAACCACTTGCCTAAGGTGGTCCAGTTGCCTAGCTCCCAGTTCAGCTGTCTCTCTGGGCACTCACTGCCTCGCTTCTAGGGTCATCACTCCACTGCTTGGTATCTGAGGGTGGGGTAAGAACAGCCCATGTGCCCCCAGGATTCCCCGTCTGGACGGGAGAAGAAAACACACAAATGACTACAGTCACATAGAAGGCATCAATGCCACACTAGACAGGAGAGAGACGAAGGGGAAGAGCCCTCACGCAGGTCAGGAGGTGGGAGGCAGGGTGGAATCCAGGAGGCCCTTGTGGAGGAGGAGGTAACACTTGAACTTGGCCTTGGGGTGGGGCAGGAAGCTGACTCAGTTGAACAGTGGGGGGGGGGGGCACTCCTGATGCTGTAATGGCTAGAGCAAAGGCAGAGAGGCAGGAAATCTGGAGCAGAGGTGAGACTTGTGCTCTCTTAGGGGAAGCAGGAGATTAGAAGCCAGACGGAGAAGTTTGCCCATATCCTGAGGTCTGTGCAGGCTGCCTGGGTCTCTGCCTTTAGAAATGGAGGCTGGCTTGGCTTTGGAATTTTCCTGAATTCCATTATGCTTAAAGTGCAGAAAATGGCAATCCTCCAGATTATCTCATGTGGAGGTGGGAGTAAACAAGTGATCTCCATGGTGACCATGAAGCCTAATATGGGATGTCCAGCTGCCCCTCTGAGATCTGGAGGCCAGTGCTGAGGAGGAAAGCGGCCGCTCCCCATTCCTTAGCCATGACTTGAACCCACATTGGTGGCAGGAACTGCTGGCCACAGGGGGCCGCAGAGAGCTCCTTACTAACCTCAGAACTGGCCGAAGCGGGGCAGGCTGAGAAAGCCCCAGACTGTGGCATGGAAGGGCCCACGGAGCAGCCGGTCCCTCCTGCCCGACCTCCCCCGAAGTCACAGGCTTCTCCCAAGGGTCAGCCGACACTCAGTTCAGCTTCCTCTGTGCAGGTGGATGCAGTACACGGGAGCGACGCAGCAAGAGGGTGGCAGAAGCCAGGATGGAGTCTCTGCCCAAAGGCCCCTGCGAGGTGGGGTGCAGCGAAGTGTGAGGCGCTGTCCTGGTCAGTCTAGCTGCTTCCACAAGGGAGTGACCTTGAAGATGCCACCTGGTCCTGACCTCAGTGCCCAGTACCCGTGTCGGCCTCCCAGCCCAAACTGTCCAGAAGGTACCGGCACCCACCTAGCTTTACCTGAGGCTCTGCCTTCTCCACCTGCCTCCTTAGAAACTTGGAGACTTCAGGGACTCAGAGGTGAGAAGCACAGGGTAAGACTCGGGCTGTGGAGAGCAGCAGACCCGAGATCACGGACCAGCTCTGCTTCTTGGTAGCTGGGGGATCGGGGCTCATTGTTTGGCCCCTGTGATCCTCAGTTCCCCTACTTGTATGATGGTAGGACCAAACTATAGCCCCTCCTAGGGTGGTGGTGAGCATCCAAGGAGACACTCAAAACTGCACTTAGCACAGGGCCTGGCACTCAGCACATGCTCAGGAAATACCTGGCACCATTATTACGATGGTCACCACCACTTTCACCATAGATTCCCTCTTGTCCAGCCTCCCCATTGGCAGAGGTCTGTCTCCTGGTCCCCTAACAGCCCAGCCGAAGCTCAGGGCCTGCTCGGTGCCCTTGGCCATTCTGCAAAATGCCCTCTGGTCAGTTCTGTGTTTCCTACGAGTCAGTTACGTTTGTTCCCAAGTCTTTCTCGTGCCAGCTGAGCTTGATATTACACATGTGGGATTTAATAACTCTACAAAACCAGCAGTTCTCAAACTGTTTAGTATCAAGACCCCCATTGTACTCTTCAAAATCATTGAAGATCCCAAAAAGCTTTTGTTTATGTGGTTTACATCTGTCAGTATTCACTGTTAGAAATTAGAGCTGAGAGATTTTTCAAAGCACAGAAATGCACAAGCACATAGTCCCTCAGCCATCAGAGTGGGTCCTGGCTGCCTGTACATCCGTGAGGAAATGAGACGCTAAAGGGCACATGATGTCTTGGTATGAAAACGAAGCGTTTCGGCTCTGACCGGTCGAGCCCCTGAAAGGGTCTCGAGGGTCATCAGCATCCCGGGACCATACTTTGAGAACTACTGATGTAAACAAATGAAATATGGGTGCCAGATATGAGCTGCTTTTTGAAAACCAGGTTGGAAACTCTGGAAAGTCCCAGCACAGATGGGGGAGATCGTTAGGGGGAGGACAAGCACATAAAAGGTGGGAGACTGTGCCTTCCGATGTCCGCCAGTGCCTCCCAGTTCACACGCCTCTAGAGAAACCAAAACCAGAAACCAGTGCTGATTCAACGTGACGTGGTTCAGCAACCAAGATGACTTAGACCTACCATCTGCAGACTCATGTTCGGGGAAAAGGCTCTGGCCCTTTTATCAATAGACAGACAAATTAATGCACTTTAAATATTTTAAGTAAAAATAAAGTATTTTTAAAGTGTATATGTGGCTAAGTAGGATTTCCCCACTTATCCAATTTGTCCAGTTAGCTCTATAATTGTAGATGCTTCAGGAATATTGCCCCAGCCCAGCCCATCCTCCCCACGGTGGACACCAGCTCCATGTTCCAGCCTTCCCTCTGATCACCTAGTCTTTGGCCTCCCTCACTGCTTCACGCAGTCAGTGCTCCACAAACTCACGGTGAAGGAACCAGTGAAGGAAATCACTGAATGAGCAGATAAACAGCCCCCTACTCCATCCCAATGCCTGGCCCAGGGCCTCGGGCCAAGTAGACGTTCAGAGAATCCTTGCTGAAAAATTAAATGTTGATGCTTTGCACAATTTCTAGTTGGAGTGTGTCTCCTCGGTGCCTTTGAGGCCATCAGGTGGGGCTGAGCCCAGGGGCAGGCATCCACTTCTGATGTGACTCCACACGCCAGCCTCCTGGAGTCGGCCTGGTCCTGCGAGTGGGAGGTTTAGCCAGTCCAGGGCGGGGAGGCCACCTCTGCCAGCAGGAGTCAGCTGTGAGACCCTTTTGGCAGAACAGAATCATGTTTAGTTCCCTTTGTCTCCCCCTAGAAGCCCCCAGTCACCACCTAGACCCCTAGATGGGCAGGTCTGCAGATGCCTCCAGCCCAGAAGACCCAGAGTCTGCTACCCCACTGACATTGATGGGGGGCTGACACAGGAAATGCAGACAGGCTACGGGGGACAGGGAGCCTGTGGAGGGGTCGGGGATGTACACTGTGGCACCATGAATGAAAACATTGACTTTGAAGTTAAAAAGTAGAAAATCTGAGTTGACACCTTGCTCTTCCCGGAGACCAGAGCTGTGTGACCTCAGGCAGGTGTGCAGTCTCTCTGACCCTGTTTGTGCTTTCATGTGCTATTTCCTCATTAACTGCAACACCTACACACGAGGCCCGCAGACCTGCAGATGCGGGAAGGGCCTGGCTGTCCCCAAGGTCAGGGGGTGGGCAGGACCCAGGCCTTGAACCCAGCTCATCTGGCCCCAGGCCCAGGGCTCACCCCTCCCCTCCCCACACTGACCTCTTGGGGGTCCGAGTTTGGTGGGGTGCGAGTCAGACTGTCCCTTTCAGAGGAAGAAAGGGGAAGAAGGATGAGTCAACTCCAGAAGATACTGGAAGCTTTTCCCCCGTGAGTCCCCGGACCCAGCCTTTCTCTGCTCTGGGAGAGGAAGGGAGCTCCTCAGGGAGGTGGAGTGCTGGGTCCCCACTGCCTCCTCCCTATGTCACCTTGGGAAAGCCACGGGACTCGGAGAGGCCCAGGCTTCAGACCCACCGCTTCTAGATCTGACCAGAGACTGATCTTAAGGGGGCAGCTCAGAGCATGCAGAGCTGGGGGTGCACCCAAAAGCCCCAGGAGCCCCCGGGGCCTCTGTGCTCCCCGTGCTGCTGCCCCACGCAAGGGGTCCTCCAACTATGGGAGGGGGGGCCCGTGCTCTCCTCTGTGCCCGACTCCGAGCTGGGCGCCCACAGGGCAGGGCAGGGCAGCGCAGTCCCACGGAATGCACTAATCTCACTCCTCGCTTTGCCCCAAGTGCGCGGGGGATGAGCACGTGCAGACCTGAGCCGAGTCCCAGGGTCGCCTGGCAGGAGGACACAGCCACTCCCAGGTGGGCCTGCTGCAGTCACTGAGATGCTACCATTTCCACCTCTGCGGTGTCCTCGTCGCCTGCGGGCTCTCAGGGACAGCAACCCACAGGCCTAAGGGACCCAGGGACACCCCGTCTCTGCCCTGCCACCCGAGACCTGAGCAGAAGCAGGTTTGCAAAGGATGGAAAACGGACAGGGGGAGGAGCAAGAGGGCTGGGGACAGAGGCTGACGGGGCCGGGCTTCAGGAGCCGAGGCCAGCTGGGCGCCGTCAGGCCCGAGCACTGAATGTGAGTTTGGAGGCTGCCTTCCAGAGCCAGTCCCAGAGCATGAGGCCAGGGCCACTGGCCCCCAAGGCTCTCTCGGGGACCAGAAAACATTCTAACCATTTTTGTCATTTTCACAAGCTGCTTCTTTTGAAGCATGACTAACTCGAAAACAGCTGAACTTCAGAAACTCAAAACCGCCCATGGGGCTCGTATGGGTCTCCTGGGGGAACTGAGAAAGTAACT